AAAAATGAATGGATGTGGATGGCAGGTTTTCATTTGCTTCCTTGACATCTTAGAATACTGTAAATAAGTTTGTGTGTTTCAATTGAAATGGTTCCATTATCTTAGAGGTCTTAATCATTTGTAATTGCAGATTCTGAAGTGTTCAGAGCTTGTGCTTAAGGAACATTATTGGCATTCAACATAGTCATACTACATTAAGCAGATTTACAACCTTGTTCATGGTTATCCTTGATCATCTTTATTTAAATGTAAGTTTAGGTTGATGAGGTGGCTTAGCATCCTCCTATGTTGCAACCTGTTTGTTGGCACCACCAAAAACTCTGGCTCTGCTGGGTATCCTCAGACTTATGCAAAGGAAAGTGAAGTTGGCAAGGTGAAGTGGGAAGAGAGGCAGGTGAAGGTCAATGAAGACAAAAGCTTAAAAGGGCAGCCTGTTTGGAAATGTACCTGGGAATTTGGTTTTATTAGGGTGTGACGAGGCTAACAGATGAGGAGGTGATTGCCACTGAAGACAGTTACTTAGGATGCCCAAGAGGGAGGGGCCAAGTCAGGCCACACAGAACCACATGGGGAGGATCCAGGGTAGGGGGAAGATGTGGGCAAAAGTTTTGCCATTGTGGCTTACTCAAGAAAGCCAAAGCAAAGCCGGGGAAGAAGACTTAGGATTGGATAGTTTGAATGATTTCAGAGGGTTTTGAGGGATAGTAGTGGTTCCAAAGTTAGGGTGATTCTGAGCAAGAGGGATAGTGTTCAGGAACTCAGGAGCCTGCTGAAAGGTGGCATGGGGGTAGAGATTCAGTTATGGCTGATTTGCATATCAAAAGCTGTTCCTGGGCCTCCCTGGTGGTGCAAGGGGTTGAGCACCACACTGTGAAGCAATCCACAGTCTCTGCAGCACAAGTTCAATCCCCAGCCAGCCGAGGAGCAACCCACATGGCGCAGCAGACCTCTCCTGACTCGCCCGCTGCTCCCTTCAGCAGTGTACTTCAGTCAGTGTGCCTGTTCTGTTTCCCGCTCGGTCTCTGGTTAATTCTCTCACCACCCCCTACCCTGCACCTCTGGCCTGCACCCCAGTTCTTGTATGCATAAATAAACAGATCTTTAAAAAAATAAATGTTCCCCAAAGATGCTTGGACCCCACTTTGAGGAATCAGGTATAAGTATATAGCTAAGGCACTGGGGAAAAAGGAATAAATGAAACAGACTAAATTCCTTATGTACCCTCCACTACAATAAGATAAAAAAAAAATAAGTAAAATACATATTATGTCCAAAAAGGATAAATGTTAAAGGAGAAAATGTTGGGGGAGGGGATGGCATTTGCAAGTATAAATGCAGTGGTTAAGAAAGTACTGTCAAAGGGCCTCCCCGGTGGCGCAGCGGTTGAGCGCTGGGTTGCGAAGCTGCCCGCAGCCTCTGCAGCGCCGGTTCGATCCCCGGCTGCTCCCCGGCCACCAGAGGAGGGTCCCACATGGCGCGCAGACCTCTCCTGCCGCCCGCTGCTCCCCTCAGCAGTGTACTTCAGTCCTTCTGCCTGTTCTGCTCCCCGCTCTGGCTCTGGTGAATTCTCTCACCCTCCCGCGCTTCTGACTGTACCCAGTGCTTGTATGCATGTATGTATAAATCAATCAATCAATAAAAATAAATAAATAAATAAATTAAAAAAAAAAAAAAGAAAGTACTGTCAAAAAGAAGGCACTCAAGTAAATATGTGAAGGAGGTCATCCTACTCCATACTTATTTTTTCCTTTAGCAACATATGTTAATGCCCTCGCATATCAGAACTTAAATATTAATTTCATTCTTTCTAATGGCTCCAGGATATTCCACTGTTAGCATATATCATTATATTGATAGACATTTTGTTATTTCCATAAATGGAATGTTTTAGATGAATCCTGTTATGATTTGTTAGCTGCTCATTTGAGTGGCTTTAAAGAGAGTGAGGGACAGTGAAATAAAGTCTGGTTAGTTAGAAAGGGATTTAAGTTAAGTGTGAGAAGCAATGGGTAGAAAACCTACCTGGGTCACTTTACCTAGATCAATGTTTTTAGAAAGCTTTTTTGGTATGATTGTTCTAGACTCATAAGAGTTTTTCCCTATTCCTGCATCTTAGGCTGTGTAGTCATCTACCAGATGTAGTGTGACATCCAGGAGCTTCTCTATCTGGTGTCAGAGGTCTCATCCTGCTTATAACATTTTTTCCACGTCAGGCTACCTGTAACTCCTGCAGAAGCAATTGACAACTTCAGCCCTCCAGGTGGCAAGCTGTCCACCTCCCCACAAAGGAAGGGTATGTGAAAATGTTAGGGAGCAGTTTGCCTTCTGGGCTCTGAGCATGACCTTCCCCCAAGAGAAGGCATCTAAGTATCCTTAAAATAAAAACAAACAAAAGCCCTTACTTTCCTGTAATATTTATTTATGTGGCTGCAGATGTTTAGCACTGGGCCATATGCCTGAACAGATTTCACATTTAATGAAAGATTAATTTATTCATTTGATTATTATCGGAGGTGGTACCTGCACTGTGCCTGTGATCTGCCCGGCACTGACTGCAGCAGGAGCAACTATCAGTGCACTATGGTTCCTGCCTGTGACCCTCTAAGTTCTTAACAAACCCAGGAAATGGGGGAAAATGCTTGTGATTCAAGGCAGTGCTGGTAAGTGCTGCCAAGAACACTGTAATAGGACTAAACAGAGGGAAGAATGTTCTCATCTGAATTTCCTTCATATGTTTCAGAGGGATCTAAGCTGAGATAGAAATAGGAAAAATGGAGGTAGAACGAAGAGACACACAAGGGGATGGGGGAAGGAACGTATGTTTGTTTGCATATTGGGAACATGTGTGAAGAGAAGATAGGCAATAACTGCATTATATGCAAAGGAATAGAGGAGAAGAAATAGAGGTCCTGTAAAAAGAACAGGAGGTGACCCAGTGGACCCTAATGACTGTAGATGACAGAAGATATTGGGTGCAATGACATTGGCAGGGCCAGGATGAAGCCATGGTGGTCACGAAGGTCATTTCCTATTTCTGCTTAACTTATAAGAACAGCAGGGTGGGCTCACAACAATGGGACAAAAATGGATACCCCTACCCATTTTAAACAAGGAGAAAAAAAAATTGATATTTCATTATTTGACAAGTTGGGTTTCAGAAGCCAGTACCAGAAGCATGTTCTCTGTCCTCAAGGTGATCACTCATCACCCACACCACAAATAGCTGTGGAGGACTGAAGCAAGGTGCCTGACACACGGTTAGAAGGACAGCATTCCAGGGCAAGCGGTGCTCAGTCCACAGTTTCGGACCCAAACTGGACTCACATTATGATTTAGCAGAAAACACCAGTCAGACCCTACTAACTTGTATTTCTTGTATTTATTATTCAACTTCAGAAAATATTGCTCGAAGCTCCAAGCTTAGGGAAACTGATTTGAGAGACTTGTCTCCTGTTTCCAGCCAGGTGACCTTTCCTTTAGCTGGTGCTTTTCTCAAAAGCTGGTGGCAAGTTTTTTTGGCGTCTGTGCCACTGGGTAGTGGGCTCACATTTGGTAACACAGAGGCCCTTACTTTGTTAGTAGACACAAGATTAGAGGCAGGATAATAAGTGAGCTCAGAAAGCGATCAACTTCTTCTTCTGTTTTTGTTTTTGCTCCTTTTCTGGGGAAGAGGGAAAATGTTGTGCATTTTGCCTTCATAACCTCAGTTTCTAATCCCAGTCATTTTTTAAATTAGCTTACTTATTTTTTAGCACTTACCAAAGTTAATATATGCCTGTAGTTTATTTATTTATTTTTAAATATTTATTTATTCATTCATTCATTCATTCATTCATTCATTTATTTATACATGCACTGGGTACAGTCAGAAGCGCGGGAGGGTGAGAGAATTAACCAGAGCCAGAGCAGGGAGCAGAGCAGGCAGAAGGACCAAAGTACACTGCTGAGGGGAGCAGCGGGCGGCAGGAGAGGTCTGCGCGCCATGTGGGACCCTCCTCCGGTGGCTGGGGAGCAGCCAGGGATGGAACTGACGCTGCAGAGGCTGCGGGTAGCTTCGCAACCCAGCGCTCAACCGCTGTGCCACCGGGGAGGCCCTATGCCTGTAGTTTAAACCGGCAAATAACACTTACAGTCCAAAACAGCATCCTCTACCACCCTCGTCCCTGCCACCACCTGCTCCTCAGAGGAAACTGCTTTTTTTGTTTGTTTATTTGCTGGTATAATAGAAGATATTCATGCACCAGAATAAGGAACCTCCATACTGTTAAGACTTCTGTCCTAGTGGACTGTTCTCAGTTTGGACAGTCTAGGGACTTGTCCAGTACAGTAAGATTAACCAGCAGCTTTGACCTATCCTCTCCCCAAAAGGAAGTTAAATCCTGTCACAAAGAGGGATCCAATTTTAATTCCGACATTTGAGTCTACAGATTTCAGTCATGTGTGCACACTGATATTTCTTGTCATCTTAGAGATTATCTAATATCTTAGTGTGCAAAATGACACCATCTTAACACCATCACCATCACCACCTCCCATCAAGCTTTCCGTCTGCCATCCTTACAGTAGGTTAAGTAGCAACTCTGGTGAAAGCAGTATGTTGTGTTTACCTTGTTAGGAGCAAGTAATAGTGTTTACTACTGAGTAATAGTGAGTAATATTACTGCTACTATTAATACTACTATTATTACTACTACTATAATATTACTACTACTACTAATATCACTGTTACTACTGAGTAATAGTGTTTTACTACATAGTGTAAAAACATACCTCCTATTTTGTTCAGTATTTTGTTTTACCTGGCGCTGTCTTTCTGCATGTATGTGTGTGTGTGTGTGTGTGTGTCTATTACTGTTTCTGAACTATCCAAAGAAACTACAGAAGCCCTATTAAAACCTTTCTGACATGAGCCACCCCATCAGTTTATCTGGCAGATCTGTTTGTACCTCTGAAGCCGCTCCTTCTGCCTGCCCTAGCAGTTTCCCAGGTCAGCTGCCCACCTGTTGTCCTGGGGCTTCTTTTTAACACCATCTTGCGAAATCCCTGTGCCTCTCGCCTGTGCTGGGTCCCCCGTTTCCTGGATCCCATGGTCTCCTCTTTCTTGGTTTACATCCTCATTTCTGTAGAGCACATTCTCTAGTAGCTACCTGAGAAAAGGTACATGGGAAGTAAATTTGTTGAGACCTTCCTTGTGTGTCCAAAAAAGTCTTAATTTCACTCTCATACTTTCTTGTTAAGTTGTGATTGAATTCTAGCAAAATGTCATATCGCCCATAGCTCTGAGGGTTGAACATGACGACATAGTTTTTTAACTTTCCATGTTGTGGTTGAGAAAGGTGATGTCACTGATATCCCTGGTCTTTTACATGTGACCTGTTTTCTTTCATTGGGAGGTTGTAGAATCTTCTTTATAATCCTCTAGTGTTCGGAAATCTTAAAGACCCTTAATGAGGATCTTTTATCCATTGTCCACTTTCTCTTCCCTTAAAATCTGGGAATCTGCTGTTGTATCTTGAAATTTTTTGTGCTCTTCTTTGATACTCGCCTCCTCACCACTATTTTCTGTTTTCTTTTTTTGGAGCTTCTCTGGCAACATGCTAAACCTGAGGACCTAACTGCTACAGTCCTTACCTTCTGTCCTCCCATGGCTACTGTCCATCTTTGCCTGCTAATTTATATTTTCTAGGTTTACGTGACTTTACCCTCTATATCTCTGAATATATATATATATATATATTCCTATAAGTTTAATTTCCAAGATCTTTTTCTTATTTTGTAGAATATACTTTTTATTTCATGGACATAATACTGTCTCTCATTCTTCTGATGATATTACAGGTTTTTAAAAACTGTTCTTTTGCTTTCTTATTTATATTTTTTTTCTCTGAGCCACACTTCCTGCCCCCAACCCCTTCTCTATTTGTTTTAACCCCAGTAGTTTATATGAGGAGCTACACTCAAATATCTTGTAAACTGCTTGAATATTATTTTATATTTGGGATATTTATATATATATATTTCTCTCTATATATAAATACACATATATAAATATCTTAAATATGTGTATATATGTACATGTAGAGAAAATATAAATTTCTATTTAGGGACAATGAGTCCCTCCCTATAAGACATATTGTAGATCCTGACTGGGGGCAGGTTGTGCTTATTACCTGAAGACAGGTAGCTGTAAGGAAATTCAGTCATTTCCAAGGGGATTCTAAATGCCAGTCAGGTCATTTCTTTGGGCTGTTCTGCTCCTTTGGATAAGATGATTTCACTTATAGCAGGAATATAGGGGGACCAAATAAGATATCAGTGCTAAAAAAAACGGTAATAATATAAAATGCAACCAAGCAAAACCAGACAATTATAAATCAGAGACATCCTGCAGGGGAGGAGGAGGGAGAGGGATCAGAGGGAGGGAGGAAGGAGCACAGGGGACTGAGGTGATGGTGCACGGGTGCATTGGTGAAGGAAACTCTATGGGGACTACACCTGAGGGGGTGGGGGAAGCAAATATTGTTTAAAGATGAACAATGATGTAAAAAATAAAAAAATAAAAAAAAGAAGTCTTCAAACTCCTATATTTATCACAGCGCTATTTACTATAGATAAACTAAGGAAACAACCTAAGTGCCCCAGGACAGATGACTAGATCAAGAAGACGTGGTCTATATACAATATGGGATACTACTCAGCAATCAAAAAAGGTAAATTCATGTCATTTGAAGCAACATGAATGGAGCTGAGAGGGATTATGCTCAGTGAAATATATTAGAAAGAAAAAGAAAAATATTGGATGATTTCATTTATAGGTGAATATAGGGGAACTGAACAAAGGGTCAGGAAAAAGAAAAAACTTGCAAGATGACCATAGATCTGAGGCTACAAGAGGGGAGGGGGGAAGGAAAAGGCTTAAAACAGAGGAGACGAGCACAAGGAACTATGGTGATGGCTCGTGGCTGCTATGGTGGTGGGAGACTACGTGGGCTATACCTGAGGGGAGAAATAAAATACTGTCCAAAAATTAACAATGACATAAGAAAATAAATAAATACATTTAATTAAAAATTTTTTAAAAGGTGAAAATAAATAAAAGAAAGTAAAAGGGCAAAGGCATAGAATGAGTGTCTGAAAAGGGGCATATAGCTAAACTATTAAAAAGAACTCTTTCAAGCCAATGATAAAAAGACAAATAGACAAGTTTTAAAATAGGCAAATGAGCTTATAAGACAAATCCAAAAGTAAGAGGTAAAAATGGTCAAATAACACATGAAAAGATGCTGAAAAAAAAAAAAATCCTTCAAACAGCAGCCTAAGGAGCCTGCCCCTCGTGGGAGGTGCTGTGGCAGCTATGCTGCAGACCAGACTGGGGTGTGGGGGTGGGGCAGTTGTTTCCCTTCTCTGTGGAGTCTCACCTCTCTCCCCTGGGCCCAGTTTCCTGAGTCCATCCATCTCTGACTCATTGCAGCCCACGCCTACCCCTCAGTCCTGCAACAGGGATGGAGAATGGCGCTGGCAGTGGGAGACAGGGCAAGGAACAGGGACGAGCTTCTCCATGTGCTGTGTTCCACGACCACTGCTAACTGCTCTCTGACTTCTCTCGACCAACACCCACCTTTTCAAGTCTCACCCTCAGCCCTACTTAAGCCTCCCCAATGTCCGCTAGAAGGAAACTGTAGGCTTGTCCTGGTATACCTCAGCTAGGCCTCCTCTATCTCTGTACCATCTTCCAAAAATTGCTGGCATCTCTTTTTTAGTAGCAGCACCTCTTCTGTGCTTTCATACCCTCTCTCTCTCTCTCTTTATATTTTTTTGGATTCCTTGTTGCAATTTTAGGGGGGGTGGTTTAGAATAAGAAAATACAAATGCTTGTGCACTATGTGCTAGAACTAGAAGTTTCCAGTCTTATAAATTTCACTTTTTAGTTATATGTACTTACGATGTATTTATTCTACTCTAGTGTGTTTATCCAGAGAACATTGGGTGTTACCCCAAATCAACTCTAACTACCTAATAACTACTTTCAGGGAGGATGTTGCCAATTCACTTTAATTCTGTTATTGCCTAGGGAGTTCAGGCAAAGTGTACTGAACTCCTTCCCACAATCATCTTTTCTGCATATGACTATTACCTAGACTCCAGAAATTTGGACCAGTAATCAATTTGAGGCAACTGCCTCATCAATTTTTCAGTATAAAGGAAGGAAGGTAGGAAGGGAAGGAGGTTTAAATAAAAAGAAACAGACATCAAGAAAAGGATTTTAAAACAGAATACTAAGACTGACCAAATAATTATTTTAAGAAGAGAAAAAAGATTAATAAAAAATATGACTTCAAGGACACTTGAAGCAAAAATCACTTATTTGATAGGCAGTTGAGTAGCTTTTATGGCTACATGTCAACTGTAAAACACCATTCAGCCATTCATTTAACAACATGTACATGAACCCCAAATTCACAAAAAAACCCACCATTATCTAGAAAAAAAATCCATATAAAATATTCTCATAATTTCATGCCCAGATTCCCTTCCAATTATGTCCTTGTTCTTTACTGATTTAAAAGATATTTATTTTGGACTTAAGAATTTATGCATATAGGTATTTACTAATTTATATAACACATCTGCTAATTGTGTGTGTGTGTGTGTGTGTATGTATATGTGTATTCTTCATTTCATCTCCCAAATTTAAGTCAGCTTGTTGGTTTTCCTTTTAATATATTACTTGCATGTATTTTTATTTTCTTGAGTATATTTCTTAAAATTTGTCTATCTGAAAAAGTGTATTTCTATATATACTATGCTATACCCAAGTATGGGCCAATAACTTTAAAAATTAACTGTGCTGTCAATAACAATGCTTCTACTGTAGCTCTGACCTTGATAAGATGGAAGATTTTCTAGTTGGATTAACCTTATTTTATATCCCAACTCTTCCACCTATCAATGAGAACTAACTCTCTCCAATGGGAAAATGAACATTATATTCTCTATTTTGCAGGTTGTTATAAGGATAAAATCATATAATGCATATAAAGAACCTGACTAGTGCTAGTGCCCAATAAATAAAAGCTATTAAAATCAGAATATGAGAAGAAATTGAAAACCTTAAACTCCATGAGTACATTTTTTCTAAGTGAATATTTTTTTTCTGTTTTTAGGCGTAATGTCAGTGACAAGCTGGTCAATTAGAAGCAACTTGTCAGTCACTGAAGAGTGATTAGAAAAGTTCTCACAGGAAATTAGGAAAAGCAACATGAAAGTGGGGTGGGGAGGGGTACTGAAAAAAAATTAAGGAACGTATTGGACTCTGGATCAGTTTCTTAATCTTTTTGAGGCACAGTTTATTTAACTATAAATTTAGGAGGTAGGGTGGAGGTCCTCCAGATGCTCAGGATTAAAAGTTCTGTGGTTAGTTTTGGAAGATGCATGCCTCATCTTCTGCCCTTTCCTCCCCCACTCAAAGCACCAGTTTGTTTTGTTTTACTGGGAATATCACAAAGTAACTTGTCTACAGTTCCTTTCCACTCTCTCCTACCACTTGTTGACAGAATGTGGGAAGGATGGATTAGTTGATCTACAACTTCCCATTACACAATATGTTTCTCTGGGTTTTATCACTTCAGCTAAATCTTTTAGTTAAGGAAAAAAGGGGGGAAACACAACACATTAGAAGTTTTAATTGTTGATCCTTTGTCCCATAGCAGCATAAAACTTTCAGAATGGGAGAAAAATCTACCAGGGTTTCATAAGGCAGACAAGTAAGTATAGTTTAACATCTCATCTATGTGGTACTATCAGTATCTTGGGTAGCTGATCACCAACACACTGGCTGAATAGCTGCCAATTCAGTAGATTTGATTTGGTTATGATGATAGGCAGTTTACTGGGGCACATCTGGCAATTTTGGCCAGCAATGAATGAAATGAATCAACCATGTAGTGATTGGAAAGGCTGCTCAGTGATCAGTGTGACCTGGATGGAAAATTACTGTGGGAGAAATTAATCTTTAGGCTGTAGGACTGTACCATGATACCAAAATAAAACTCAGACATTTATGATGAGTAACCTTAATGCTACAATTAAAAATTATTAAAAATATTCCTAAATTAGTAAATTACTTTCACTTTTCCTACCAGTGTAG